AGAGACGGCGCAGAGTCCGGAGCGGCGCGGCGGCGGTTGGCCGGCCGTCGAATACCGTGAACGAGTCGACTGTCAGCCGAAGAGGCACATCAATTCCCGGTTGGATAACGCGAACAGGATCTGGAACGCGTCTCGAGTGTCGCCAGGACATTATCGTTAGTCCTGCGAAGCGTTCGCGAGTACGCTGCCTACGCAAGCGCGAGCACTCGTTCGCTATTGGACGAGCGCCCGTTTTAATCGTAGGAGAACCTGGTCATTTCTCCCTTTCTTTTTTCTCCCCACTGACAAATGAGCAGTACGCCCCCTTCTCGTTAAACGTCATTTTCGTGCAGGACGAAAAATGCTCGCGCCAAACTGGCCCGAGCTACGGTGGTTAAAGGTAATTAATAACACCGATGAAGAGTGCCGGGAGTTCGGTTTCAGAAAAACGGAAGAGGATGAATTTTAAACGTGCTCGCCCGAGAAGCTCGTTCGTTAGATAACCAGTTAATGGTCTAGTATTATTTATTATCGCATAATCAACAGCTTATAATCATAATTAATGATCCGTCTAAACTATCTTTCAATACTAATTATATGTAAGTGCGCAATATATTCTTTTTTATCAAACCTTCTCCGGATGGAGGACAATTTTTATGTTTACTATCTAGGAAGAGACGTGGAATATATATTTTTTGTTTAATGCAGGAACGGCAATATTATAATACTTTAGCATCAGGTCAATTAATCTACGAGACATTTCTCAAGAAATTTTCGTAAAATCGCTGACCTGCATCATTCAGACTTTAGAATCTCATAACTTTATTGCAATAAAATGATTATGACTGTGAACACACAACCAGGCGATGAGGGGTCGTCGTTCTTAATGTTCTAACAACGTCCCGTTTTAAATACGAATGCATATGCGATGCATCGGTTATGGATAAGCGGAGGGCTAGTACCTTCGCCGGATCGAACAGTGCCTTGCATCGGGCGGAGAACGAGAAATCTATTCGAGAAACGAAGATAGTTCACTCTCAGACTTAAATTAAAATCCGAGAGTCGCGTATCACTTCTATGTAGATTTCGCATTACTAATACGAGTTATATTTACCACTACATAAATTGGTCGCGATTGGAGTAAAGAAAAACGCACTTTCGTCACGATGTCCTCGATACGCTTATTACACGACGAGTCGCTACCGTCTCTTAAATTGTCTAAGTGATGAGGATGCGAATGAGATCGGATGACAGCAGTAGAAGCAATATCTATATAAACTACCAGTTGACGCCAACGTTAACTAGACCGCGGGTTCGTTTCTGCTTCCTGAATCGGCCGGAGACTCGTTTCTCGAATCATATGTCACCGAGAATCGGATAATTATTCTAATTCGCCACCGTCTCGTATTCAACGTGTAACGATGTGTGTTCTCGATTAGTATTCACCTCCGTGAGGTTTTCAATACTGGCAATGACAATATGGAACACGGATCTTAACGATTTTGCTACTTGGATCTCACAACAAATCCAATAACCAGTTCCCCCGAAGAGGAGCGCTGTCAAGTCAGGCCGAGGCAATCGAGCGGAAAGAAACGTCGCGGATAGGTTGCAGGGATACCTGCGTAGGTACAGTGTACAGTTGTTGGATATTAGATAGAGCAGGGAGGTGCCCGCGATGCGATTCGATGCAGCGAGCGGCCGAGTGAGGGTTGATATTAATCTACATCCAGCATCGCGGCGAGGGACGGCCGCGCATTCATCATCTTTATTTTAACCACACGACCGAGGGGACGGTATATCTGACTGCGATCTGCGCTAATAACATTCGCGTTATGAATGGCGCGCGCGATCCCTGAAACACCGCGAGCATTAATTCGCTAGTCGAAAGCGTATCGGAAATTGCGGCCGACCGACGATGGAGGCGGCCACCGTGCGCTGGGAACACCGGCCTTCTGTCAAGCTTCCGTCCTAATCGATCTTTTGTACATTTCGTAAGGTATTCCGATCTTTTTGTGGAAATCGAATGAGAAAAATCTTTTATCATCTTTTACAATTAATATACATATGTATTATCTAATTTTA